ATGATTTATTTATGTATTTAGAAGATGGTGAACCATTGGAGAATCCTAAAGTTAACCATGTTGAAAATGTGCCTAGAGCCTCCTCCCCAATGCCCGCAGCTGGTAAACTTTTGTTATCGTTGTCTTTACTTTTTCCTCATTATTTTATCAAGAAATCTTTCAGTATTTTTTGAATCTTTGCTTCCAGAGCCAGCTCATGTTCCCAAACCTCCTTCCCCTGACCCATCAACTTCTAATGTGGACAAGCATCAAAATGCAGCTGAGAAAGCTTATGAGCCATCAGACTGTCAGATACTATTAGGAAATGAAAAAGTAACTATTGAAGAGTCCCAGTCACAGTCAAATGGGAATGAAGTTCCTGTTGGTGAATGAACTTCCTCTTCTGCCCAGGAAGATGCTCCCAGGAAATCTTATGCCTCAATTGTGAGTTTATAAAACAAAAATGTTTTGGCTGTAAGTCTTTGCATTCAATTACTTGTTGAACCTTATTAGATTTTGGTAGGTGAAAGTAACTAAAGGGGAGTCCAGGGCCAGATAAAGTTCATGTACCTACTAATCCTGCAAAAGTAGCACCAAAGAAAATTGAGAACCAGCCTATTGCTTCAGCATCAACTCCTCCAACAGAAACAGCTGCACCTAGTAGCATTGATGTGCCTGAGAATGACAACAATCATGAGGAAGGTATTACATGTGTGTTTTTCTTAATAACCCTGTTAAATTGTTTTTCAGGAGTGTTTTGAATTGTCATAATGGGAATAATAGAATAATGCACCTTTTTTCTTGTGATACTGGTTTTTACTTGTTTCTGGAATGATTACTTCTATGACATATTTATTCCACTTACAGCTGAGGGCTACTCCATTTACATTCGTAATTTGCCCTTCAATGTGACTCCTACTCAGCTTGAGCAGGAGTTTAAGAGGTTTGGACCTATCAAACAGGGAGGCATCCAAGTTACAAATAATAGGGTAGGTTTGAAATGCACTACATGGCTAGACATTTTTTCCCCACTTGCTTTCATTTATTGATATCCCCCTTTCTTTCGTCATTCAGCAACAAGGATACTGTTTTTGTTTTTGTTGAATTTCTGTCCTAGAGCTCCATGAATGTTGCGATCCAGGTATGTCCTCATCAATGTGAGGTACTGGTTTATGTTGATATTAGAATATTCATGGTTGTTTGTTTACGCTTCTTATGTTTTTTGCCATCAAAATCAAGCCTACCTGCTATATTTTTAAGGGTGATACAGAGTGAAACAAGTAAAAAGAGGTAAAGAAAATGAGGAATGAATAAAATGCAATAAGAATGTAAAGTGAAGGCTGAAGATCTGTAGGGATTTCCTTATGCTAGGGATTGCAATCCTTAATTAAGACTAAACTCCACCCAATTCTAGCTATCAAAACTTATGGAAGTCACATAAATTACTCTCATGGTGTGAGATGGCGCCGGTTGCAATGTATAACTAGCATGGATTCCAACTCTATATGAGTATTTTGAATTTTTTTTTTTTTTTGGTACATGAGTTTTTATTTGATTTGGAATTTGATTGGGCCCACTTCATGTTAAATGTCTAGGTACCTAGCTACACCCATGAATAAATAAAGACGCAAAAATCTCCATTTCACGCTTCATTAAAGCCAACCCAATCTCAACACCACCACTACCATCTGCACTCTCAGCCAAAGAGATAGCTCCAGTTCTGTCTATGGACACAATCTCCACCTTTTTGGGCTTACCCCACCCAAAATCCGACTCATAAACTTTGAAACGGGGCGATCCGGCCACACTAATACATTGCAACGATCCTGCAGATTCCTTAGCCAACTCCAGGATGCTAGACAACTTATTTTCTGCTCCTGCAAGAACCTGACTCTTTTCCATGTCCTTAATCTCATCGCTCAACTTCTTTACTGCGAAGGCCAACCCGTTTTTATCCATAACGTCTCTTGCTCTCACAGCTTGCCAGCGTGGACCAACGCAGTTTCCGAAATAATTTTCTGGCACAGGTGGGTCTAAACGGCTCCTGTAATCAGCTGTGAACCCCAAGAACACATTTCTGTCACTTTCTCCCCCTCTTGCTTTCACCATACAAGTTGTTGTATACGCCAGTGTCAGCACAAAAGTTGACAGATGAACTGGTGGCTTTGACTTATCCCAT